CAGAACACTCAGTCAATTTAGATAAGTTTGTTTCTAAAATTGGCCCTACAGGGAATCGAACCCGGGATCTTATTTATACAAAACAATACGCCCACCACTGCGCTATAAAGGCCGTGAATCGGTCGGGATTTACGACTATCAGTAAGTTTGCGTCGTTATTTTGAGTCGGTTTATGTACTTTTCTTTTGTTATTATTACTTATTTATTTAAATCAGACAAATACAAGTAAAGAAGAACATCATTCACGAACTTTCATAACTTGCTAAAATAACAATAGCAATAAATTCCCACTTACCCACACAATATTGCAATCGGAAAATTCGTATTTACGTTTTTCCTTGTTTTCATTCGTAGCTGCAAACGTTCGATAACTTGGAAAGTTCGCCATTTGGCCTGTTACAGGGATGTCAACCGATTTCTCGCATTTAACTTTGTTGTTAGTGGGAGAATCTCCGATCTATATTTGTGAGAAGTACGAGTGCCCCGGATAGCACGTTTCTATTCGTATAATACCGAAGTTTTAAATTGGACAAAGTAAAGCTGAATTGGAGTAAATGTTTTAAGTTGTACTTCTGTGAAAGACCGTAATTGCATAGTAATAGCTTACAATGTTCACCAAAAGTTCTTACACTAAAGAGAGACTATATAAAAGTCGTTTGTATAAGCACTTATGTCTCACTAGTTATTCTGGTCCTAAGCAGCTATACTTGCATGGGTTTGTTTCAATTTGTCAGGGTAGGACATGAGAAGTGACATTATCAACAGAAGCATAACATTGTTGGAGTTTCTGCTTGAAAATTACTTTAAAAGTTACTTATTGTGATGACAATGACGATAAAATTGATCTAGATGATATCTGTACATGGGAAATGTTTACGAAAAATTAATACGGATTTTAATAAGACCAATTCAGGACAAAAATACTTTTACATAACTTTTAGAAATTTTGTCTGTCTGTATGCTTGTTCTAGTATTACTGCACCAAAATGGCATCCAGTTTGGTGCAGGTATTTTCTTAAAGATTTAACTTAAAATATAGATGTAGGTTTATTTTAAAACGTTATCTAGAAATAATCTATTTAATTGGTTTATTTGCTTCTGAAACCACGTGTATGAAGAAGCAATTAAAAATCTTTTAATATTTATTGTAACAATCGCACAACAACAATAAAGAGTTTTCTAATAAAATATTTTTACATAAGATTTGAGTCTTACCTCGTTTACCAATTTTACTTATGCAGTGACCTTTTCTTCTAATAAAACTATTATAATCAAATTACAACTTACTATGTACTTAATATGTATCTTGGCACCGTTGAAAGATCTAGAACGACAGCCCTAATATGTTGGACAGACGAGCCCTCCGCTATTTAGCATAAAGTTTGTTGCTACATATTGTCGGCTCCGTGCCCGTGTCGCCTTCAGATGGATGTTGCCACAAACTGTAAACCTGCCGGATTGGATTTACTTGACAAACCATAGACATTATTCGTAGATATATTGACGTGTTGTGAGTTGAGATAGTTTGTTGGTTCGTAAACATAATATATTTTTATGAACTTACTATGACAATTGTTTGGACTTCATCCTGAAGTCTTGTACAGGGTGTGTACGGCGCAGAGTCTCGTCTTACATTGCGGACTGGATCTCCGCAGAAAAACTCAACAATGACAACACAAACGATATACTCCCTCTGAAGAAGATATCCGGATGAAGTCGAAATAATTATAATAAACAACAAACACAGTAAGTACATTAAATACACGTTATATATGTATATAAACATCGTAAAAAAATGAACATAAGGTTTAAAAATACATTTGTAATTTACAAGTAAAATAATAAACATATAAATTGTAAACAATTAGAAATACAAACAAGTTGGTAGCTTCACTTTTGATTTTTGTGCATTTGATCCTCGCATCATACAAACATTTGTATTCATAAGTTTGTCTGTTTATATTTGTATTTCCATCACGATACCGACATCATATGTAATGGAAGGGTCAAGCTTCGTATGATTCTTCGAGATATTTTGACAAAATATTTATATTAGTTTTTTAGCTTGACCTACCCATTCAATTATAAAATTTTCTCAAAATACATACAGTAACTTTTTCATGATGACCTAATATAATAAAAAGACAGACAAACATTAATTATAAAAATTACTAACTTCGATTTCATTGCTTATTTCTAACATCTCTTGCTAATCATCATGATAATGAATGTTACAATTTTATTGTAGTGCTGATGATCCGTTTTAGCTTTCCAATATTGTCTTTTTATGCTATTAGTTTATATACATAATTACAAATTGTATGAGTAAATTCAATTGTTACTATATCAATTTGTACTAATACAGTTCTACGAGAACCTAACCTTTCTTAATCCTCACTTAAAGGAAATAGATAGCGGTGTAGACAATTCTCCCTAGATACCTCTATCTACAGAGTCATCCCATCATGGGATCCTTGACGTATGTCTGCGGTTAGGCGGACAGGGCGTGTGATAAGCAATTCGCTGTGAATTACCAATAAGTTGTTGAGCTTCGTGATATTTGCTCTAAGTATAGTTAAGTACCGAAGTTCGATTGAAGCGTCTGTTTTGTATCACTTGATGTAGGTGATAAAAATTATAGGTAATATGCTTTTTTTTCAGTTAATTAAAATGGAATGTAAACGCTGGCGTGGCACCAGTGTAGGATGATAAGTAAGTAAGGATGAAATCAGAACAATTGGTTCATCCTTAACAGTCAGATCGGAAATTAACTATGATGGTCTCCAAGACCCGCGAAGTCGATTTGATAGAACTAGCAATTGAGCTATTAAATCCTATTACTGACAATGCTCCTCCCCCCTCCATCCAGTTACAGTACTGTATTACCAGGACTGCCGTGCAGTCCAGGCATGGTATAGCTTACCCGTTCCATTCCCGGGGGTATCGTATGAGGCGACTAAGGAAACATAGTGATAGAGAGATGAGCAGCAGCGACTTTTTGAAAACTTTACTGAAAGCCCAACTGTGCTTGCCAACCCGCCTGTCAGGCGTGGGAACTATTGACAAAACTTCCCCTATGGGAAAGGCTTATGTTGTATATGATGACTACAAGCATCTGATTGGACATCTGCAAGTCCAGACAAATGTACTCTGATGTCATGGTACGTTAGTGGTAATTTTTTTTTACAACACAGGGGGCAAACGAGCATGCGGCTCACCTGATGATAAGTGACTACCGTCGCCCATGGTCACACACAACACCTACGGCATTGCAGGTGTGCTGCCGGCCTTTTAAAAAGGAATATGCTCTTTTCTTGAAGGTTATGTTGTCGTATCGGTTCGGAAATACTGCTGCTGGAAGTTGATTCCAAAGAGTGGTTGTGCGTGAAAGAAAGTGCCTTGAAAAACGCATGGTGGAGGACGGCCACTCGTCATATTACAAGTCTTCGTGTCCTGTAATTACACTGTCACTGGTAGTGCCTAAAGAAATACTCATACATGTGACTTTTGAAGCAGCAAACATGTCAGAACATGTTCAAAACTTCTTATAATTATTATATATAAGTCATTATTAAACAAAGCTATTTGTTCAAATATCGCGTAATAATGTTCGATATGAACCACTACAATGAAACATCTCTATCTTCAGAGATTACTTTTCTTGATCGCTGAGCCGATACTTAAAAGATTACGTACGGTCACTGCATTTTATTACAGCCAAAAACTCCCCTTGTTCACTTTTAATTACGAAAGGTAAGTTAACGATCTGTTAAACACACAGGATTTGTTTTATTGTTGTTTTTCTTATGTTTCGTCCTAAGGTTTCATCATCATTATTATTTCTATCTCCTTTAATTCTCATTGATGTATGTAGGTATTCTTCAAATATTTCAACAAAGTACAGTTCAGAGCTTCTTAAGGATCCTCGCAACACGTTCAGGTAGCCACAGTTTCTCACTCCTCATATCGCGTTTCCTTCGACAAGGATGCTTCACTCAAGAAACTTTCTTTAGTGCAACTCATACAATTATGGGATTTAGTGTTATAACCGTTTGGTACCATTAAGTATAGCATTATACGTATTGGAGGTGGTGGGGGGAGCGATTGTTGATAATGGGATCTAATAGTCCCGTTGCTACCGATATCCCTAGCAAATCGACCTCCACTCGGTTCTCCTGGTTAATTTTTGACGTATTCGTCACGATGGGCCAACTGACCTGCTTTCATCTTTACCTATCATCTCTCACTGGTGCTCCGTCAGCGTATTTTGATAACGCAAGCGTCATCATCAACCATTAAAAAAAGATATAATCGATGTGCCTAGATCAAGTTAAAAGGGCAGGACTTCTGAAGTACGTATAAGAAGAAATATAATACCACGCTTCCAGGAGTGAAGGTGCATGAAGAATGCAATGGGCGTCACTGTATCTCTTGTAAATGGATATTTATATATACTACACTAGTCACATGCTTAAGTTTTACGCGGGTGCAGTTTACTATTGAAGTTATCTATTTACATAAAAGTACAACAGCATTTGTTGTAAATACATACAAACCTTCCATTTAAAAATATCTAAATGACAGTTCAACCTGTATCAAAATCTATTGCGTGGTTTAGATGAATAGAAGTAGACAGATGTAGACATCCATTTTGTTTCCCTGTTTTAAGATTTTGCGCTTTACATAGTTAAATGCTGATTACAGTGCAATATGACGCTAATAGCATACCACGTCGTAAGCTGCGGCGTATAAGTGATGGGAGGATAATGCCATCCTGCGCAGTTAAAGACAACGATCTCATAAAATATGAAAAATTGAAGTGAGATTTTCCAATCTTCAAGATATGAAATCTCACGCTCGTCATTGAATTGATGTGTAGCATGTTCGTGTCATGCTTGTTATTAATTAGGGTCCCGCAAAAAGGTTCGAGGTCCGGTGGCTGTGAGCCTGTGACGCAGGCTCCTGCGGCAATGTCAGTATTCCAGTATTCATCTCACAGTCAAAGAGATCGCTCGCACGACCGCCCCGCTCTATAGGCGGATCGCGCCACACTCGAGATTCGAAATTTAAAAATTCAAATTGACATTTTATTTTTATGTTAAAAAGTGATACGATATTAAATTATGTGCCATTATATGTTTTTACGAACATTTAATTTTTTCAAAAGTTCTAAATAAGGCGAATCCTGGATGGTTATGGTATGTTATTTTTTTATATATACATACACCTTAGTTACTTAATTTTAGTCGACTTTTGGACTTTAAAACAAAATTAAATAATTAATAAAAAACATGTTTAATAATTAAAATTAATTTTTAATTATTTCTTCATTTTTAATCATTTACAAACATGCAAAATATCTTTTATTAATACATACAAATGGATATTTTAATTAAAATATTAATCTGAGTGTTAATACTCCGTGATAAATTTAGGTATTAATTATTTTTAGATATAACATTGTTTCTATTAATATATTATGAAAAGAGCATAACAATATCTTACTGACTATAAAATCATATACCTTAATGTAAAGATTAAGTTACTTTGTGTGTAAACTATTGCAAAATTTAAACACTGTACGAATATACATATTTATATATGACGTAATATTGATAACGAGCGATTCGGCCAGGCTTCACACGACTAGATTGGATTTTCGCAAATGATATACACCTATGTTCATCATCATCATCATCATATAAGCCGTTAACTGTCCACTGCTGAACATAAGCCTTCCCCATAAGAAGAGCTTCGCCAGTAGTTGCCACGCTTGTCAGACAGGTTGGCAACCGCAGTTAGATTTTCCTTGATGCTTTAAGAGGGATGCTGATGCCCATACCTCTACTATAGAATTCCCTATATTACTCACTGACAATGTAGAGTTCTATAGGTAAAAGTATTTTGAAAATCTTTTGAGTAGTTTTTAAGCTTATCCATTACAAATAAACAATCGAAATTAGTTACAATTTACATAGATAGTAAGTACAATAGTATCATTATTCAATAATATTTATTATGATTATTTATTTATTTATTTAAGGCAAACAAACAGCTAAAATAATACATAATTATATACTCAAATAGTAATTTGGTAGCCACTAGAATTTGCACAAAATAAAATACAAGTAAAAAAAACACAAAATTAGACAATACTAAATTAAACAAATATAAACAAACAAATACTATTGAAAACCACAATTTGTAACACTATTATGAGTTATTGAATACTAATATGCTACGTAGATATATCTATTATTAGATATTTAGGTTATATTCTAGCATTCGAAACTTTGAAGACGATTAATAATTTACCCATTTCATTATTATTGCTTGATATAATATCAGGTATCAAATAATATAATTAATGGATTTTGATCATTAAGTAATTTAATTACCACTTCATATGTCATACTCGTGAACCGTAGGAATCGGGCTGTTCTGGGCACTGCAACTGGTTAAATTTATAAATTTATTCTAATGCTTTTATAATTTTAATTCTTACGATCTGGTACTGCTTAGTAATTTGTATTTACACAAATACATAATTTATAAAATTAAAATTAAAAAAAATAACAGTTGACTTTCTTACTCTTTCTTCTTAGCTAAAATTTTATTCTGAATGGGCGATAGATATTAAAAATTATTAAAAATAAAAAGATTAAAAATGCTTAAGCTTACTTGGAAAAAAATCTTTCTTTTTTTCTTTCTAAATCAAATACTTATTTTTTAGTCCATTTTTAATCAATTCTATGTTCAATAGAAGTCAAAAGTAAGACAGAATTGTATTGACAGAAGGAATTGTATTATATAACTTAAGAAGAAACAATTTCAAAATCTATAAATGTTTGCTCTCCAAAATGATGAATGGAAATGTAGTGGACCTACGTTCTACACCTACTGTTTTATTCATGCTTGGTTTTGGCACGGACTAGTCAAACAGCATAGATTAATGTAGGTATACTATGGCATTATTTGGTACATTTATCTTAAAATATACAAGTAATACTACTGTACTTCTATATTTAGTTCGGTATTGTTATAACAATTATAACAATTTCAAGTATAACTGTGTTAGACCTTCAATAACAATATCTGGCAACTTTTTTGTATTCATATATACTTTTTTTTTTAAATAGAAGAATATTTACCTTTTATTTTTAATTTCACTTGTATTACTGCTGTGACCTGAAATATACGTCTTCTTAAATCTTTCTTTTTATTATTAACTGTACTTGTAATCTCGGTTTCAGATAATATATTGGTTGACTTAGTTTTAGATTAATATCTTAAATTAATATTTATTTATACAGCTTTTAAAGTACGTTCTTATAATAAATACAAATACGAAACAATATAACAAGCAGTCCATGAAGTTTGTATCTATTTAGTAAAAGTAAAAAAAAATACTATTTGACTATAAAAAAATATATAAGCGGTTATAAATATTACATTATGTTCCTCAGTTTAATTTCAAGTATTGTCGCTCGTGGCAACTAAAATGTTACGCCAGCTTTGCGAAGTAGCGACTTTGGTTGGCGATGAATCGTTGGCAACTTTAAATTGACGTATGAACGTGAAACCTATAAGAAAATATTTGTAAATAGGAAATATTTAAGAATAATCTATATGAGAGGCCTCAATAAGAGTAATAGAAGCCAAAACAATATTTGAGATAATAGAAAAGTTTTTTTTTTATACAACTTAGAATGGCATACAAGCTGACGGCTCACCTGATGGAGTGGTAACCGTCGCCTATAGACATGAGCAGTATCATGGACATAACAGAGTATACTGTTTCGCCCATGATACCCCCCATGTGTAGCCGTTCCTGAGGACTCAGGTGTTATTCCTCTGTACCCAGTAAATTCACGCCATATCCCACCCTTCAAACCGAAACACAGCCATGCAAACACAACTGCTTCACGGTTGAAACACGAATGGGACAGAGGTACCCAAGCAATCGACTTTTGTACAAAGTCTCCCTGTGGTAGGTGATTATCAACTGCCGACAATTTTACTGAATATAATTATTAGAATACGAAGTGACAGAAGACGATCATATACGTATATATCGTCGTCACTCAAATTAATTTGGTTTGTTAACAATATATTATATATGATATTATATATATGTGATATTAATTATGTTAGTTCTATTACACTTCTAATAAAAATATTGTTATAGCGATCTCATCAGTCTGGTTAGCATACTTATTTCTTGCATATTTTTCGTGAACAGTATTTATATGTATATTTTTATGTATTTGTGTAGGCGTTTATATGCATGTATGTATATGTGTGTATATATGTGTATGTATATGTATATGTATGTGTATATGTATATATATGTATATGTGTGTGTATGTATATATATATAATAATGAGTAGGGATAATTTTTATATTATTATATGTATTACATCTCCCATATCTAGAACTAACAAAATTTTTTATCGTGCCTCCTATTAAATTGTTTATAATTACTCCTCTCCATCCAAAGGTTGCCTGGAAGAGATCGCTCTTAGCGATAAGGTCGCCCATTGTTTTCTCATTGTGATTATTTCTTGTAATTGTTTATATCTATAATAAGTTTACTATTGTAATCTTTTGGAGGAAACAATAAAGAGTATCTATCTATCTATCTATCTATCTATCTATCATCACTTACTATCACATAGCATCCTAAGCAGGCGACCTAGTTTCAAATTAAAAGGTAAAATATTTAAATTTCAACCGTAAATATCATACTCGTATATTACTTTAAGTTACGAGCATTTATTTTAATAGATATATATTACCTGTATCTATACGTTACAGTTATAAACCATTTTTAGTTATAATGCGTTTTCTCTTATTTAAAATAGTTTTTAATAAATGGCTGTGTTATAACTAGAAGTTTTCAGTTTAAACTAGAGTTTACTACTAACTTTGAAGATTAGTTAAAACAAGTATTAGAATAACTTCTTTCGTCTATAACTAAAAATAATTTATAATATCTTTTAAAATATTTTTCGGTTGAAATTGTTTTAACAAAATCATTTTGATGAAACATGCTCTGTCTAGTTAAAACTACTTTTAACTGATATTTATATTTGAGTATTGGTAAATTCTAGGTGCAAAGGCATTTAGTAAAGACTAACTTTAAACTAGAGGAAAGGCGTTATAAACGGGTTTAAACTTTAACATATATGTCGGTAATTTCACCATAAATTCCTTATTCTTATTGTTTCACCCCGTATAAAATTCTTACGTGCTCCCCAGTTTCCTTCAAAGTGCAAAGATCAGGCTTTTTCTAAAGCATTTTCCTTAATCAAGGACTTATGTACTTAAGGATATTGTCTTAGCTGGCTTTGAGTCAACGAATGAGTTTCTGAACATTATAGATATAAATAAAATTGAAATTTATGAATGTCAACAAGATCAAAAATTTTGTAATATATAGATACCAAGAATAAATTTTATTATATCGTTAGTGTACTAGTCTATGGCCTTGTCCTTTGTCAATTAACATAAAGAAGTATTTATTTATTTATAATCTACACAAAGATTACATTGTACAAAGATATACAACAGGTGAGCTATTTTAAATACCATATATTAAGTAGGTACTAATTCAGTATTATTGCGTCTTACTTATTTTTGTTATGACATGAAGCAGTATAGTACTTATATAGTACTTAGTATTCATGCCTATAAGGCGACGGCATATTGAGAACTGCTCAAGACTTTCTACGTCACAGTGTTAAGTTGACTGGAAGATATCTCTTTTAGAGATAAGCTCACCTGTACTCACATTATTTTCAATAATTGATATTGTTAATGCATTTATAAGTGCAATAAAGAATATAATAAATAATATTCTAATTTTAAATTTATTCCAAACTAGCTTTGTGGATTTAAGAAGTAAGAAAACCAATGGAATAAACTATTTCTAGATGGCGTATTAAGATAATACATACTTGTCTGCCATTCTAAATTGCATAAAAAATATTATAGATAATAATTATATAATATCAAAAATACATTTCGAACTTTATATCCATAACAATAGTGTTTATTGGATGACTGTTCTCTCAAAAATAAATAAGACATCTCAATTATTTTGCATACTTTTTATTCTGTATTCTTCAATCAAGTTGACTTCGTCTTGATTGATGACTATTTTTTTTTTGGAGAAAAAACCCTTTGGTTCGCTTA